GCTGCGGCATGACAAGAACATCACACTACTATACATAGCTCTTATGGCATCGCCGGTGTGCGAAGCGCTATTAGGTATCAGATGGTATCAGATACTCTCCGGCTCTGGAATTGTACCGTTTCTATTACTATTCTTGTTTGCATCCACCCACCACTGACTGGGGCCATGCTACGCAGTTTGGGGTTCAGCTCACAGTAGAGGCCGTGATCCAGCAGCACCAACTGCCACCTGTTCCGTCAACTTAATTCCCTCAAGCTACAGCAAAATCTACGTCACAAAAACGGTTCAACCGTTCAAGCAACACGCGAATCGGATCGAACCCGGATTCCCGCCTTTGTGCTGAGCCTGGGGGGCTCAAGCGCACCAACAAATTGCCAGGATGGGGATCGCAGTGGACATGGCCAGTACTGAAGATCTGATGCCCAAAAGCCTGGGACCCAACTGACACTGGCAGCACCCTTGTCGAGGTCAAGGGATCATCCGCCCAGAACGGGGGCACTAATGGGGCCACTTCACAAGTTGCCCTACCGTTATCACAAATTACTGGTATCATGTTCTATCATTTTCTATCATCATGACATCATTCTATGGTAACAGGCTCGCTTTAGAACACAATCTAAAGCATCACTTTGGAACACAGCCATTTTGACCTCACATTGGAACACAAAATGCTACATATCATCAAACCATCGCCAACCAAACAGACATCAGATTTACTGACAGGCGCAATACTTTGGAAGCCTCGCGTGTTCAAAAGCGAGGCCACCACCAAAAAAAGGACCCCAATGAGAAATGCAGTCTTTAGGTCGATGTCACCAAGTGCCACGCCTGCCACACAAACTGTACGTTGCCAACCCTGACAGTAACAATGGTTCTACCTTCACGACTGCTGATGGTTCAGGGTGTTAGAATGTTTCTTATCATGTCCCAATCCAGATAATAATCCCCCGAACCCTGCCGTTGCCATTGCAGGGGGAGGCGCCCGAGACAGCGAAGCATCAGCAGCGGCCTGTTTGGCAAGCAGTTCAGGAGCTGACGGCGCCACCACTAGCTGCCCTTCGAAGGCACGATCTGTCCCGCAGTGCCATGCCGTTTCGGCGTGGCAAAACGTACGTTTTTGAGCCTTTTGGCTGGCTTTTGAACCTTGCTCTGTAATGTTCTATAAGCGCTTCAAAGCCAGCAAATGGGCCACGACCTGGCGGCCCTTTGAGAAGCCTTCCGTCCTTAAAGCGTGGCGAGTGGTGTTTTTCGAAGGCACGATCTGCCCCTCAGTGCCATGCCGTTTCGGCGTTGCAAAACGTACGTTTTGAGCCTTTTGGCTGGCTTTTGAACATTGTTCTATAAGCGTTTCAAAGCCAGCAAATGGGCCACGACCTGGCGGCCCTTCGAGAAGCGTTCCGTCCTTCACTGCCATGCTGTTAAAACGTGGCAGGGGATGCTTTTTCCCGAGCTGGCTGCTGCTTCTTTGTCCGTTCAGAAGCCGACCTGATGCCGTGCGACCGGGCAGCGGCGCGAAAGATTTTTTTGAAGGCACGATCTCCCCCGTAATGCCATGCCGTTTCGGTGCGGCAAAACGTACGTTTTTGAGCCTTTTGGCTGGCCTGACCTGGCGGCCCTTTGAGAAGCCTTCCGTCCTTCACTGCCATGCTGTTAAAGCGTGGCGAGGGGTGCTTTTTTCCCGGGCTGGGGGCTGCTTTTGGCATTCTTCTTTGATCCCCGACCCCAACTGGTTCAGGAGTAGGGGGGGTGGATCCTACATTTCTGATAATGTATGAACATAAGGGGGGGGTTAACCCCCTCACTTTTTTCCAAAAATGTATGGGAACTAGGGGGGGGGTAACCCCTCAAAATGAGGCATGTATGAGTGCCAGATGCTGGAAATGTATTATTGGTAGGGGTATTGAACCTGAAAATGTATGCTTTGTGGGGGGCACCACTGACAAGAGCCAATGGATACATAAACTTTTCTAAATGTATGCAAGCATGGGGGGGTCTGCACCTCAATCCAATTGATCTTTTTTTCCTGGGAAACCTACTGAAACCCATGGGCCATAAAATGGCTGAAATATCCCCCTTTGAATTAAGTGAGAGTGTTGGTGTTGACAATTTTATAATGATAATCCGGGAGGCCCTGACCCTCTTTCTGAAAATGCATCTATAGAATCAGAGACCCCAAGGTATCTTCAAATTGACAATCTCTATAGAATCGATGCCGCCAAGTCACTCTCGTAGATGGTTGGGGGGGTTAGTTGGCCTTCTATAAAATCAGGTTCCCCAAGTCTCCTTCATTGACAGCTGACCTGAATGCTCCAGTTACTCTTGCCTAGCTTGCCTTATGCACTCCCAAATTTATAGAGTTCAAAGGCTCCAAGTGTTCACTGTCAACCCCTTCAATTTCAAAGATCTTGAAAGTCGCTCTGTTTCATTTTGTTTCATGTTGTATCCATCTGTTTCCATCCGTTTGCTCTTTTTTAGCGGAAAGGCGGAAAGGCTGGCTCGAGGACTTCGACCCAAAAACGGTGAGACACACTGGGGAGACACAACGGGGAGAAAGAAAGGGGAGACACAACGGGGAGACACAACGGAAAAATGATGCAAAATGAAAAATGTCACTTTTATAGTTTGTAAACAAGAAAAAGCTGCTTTTGTGAGATATTGAAATGTCAAAATTGTACATATTTGCTGAATATAACTGATGATAACTGATGAAACCCTGATGATAGATCTCCAACAAATCTCCAATATATCCCAAAAGTATCCAAAAGTTTCCAAAAATATGTCAAGATTCCAAATGATTCCAAAATATACAAGGATGATCAAGGATGATGAAGGATGATGAAAGAATTGTTGTGGGAAATTGGTTCTGCCAATGCTTCTCTATAAAATTGAAGAACATGACATACATCCAAAGAGAACGTATCCCACTGTAGAATCGCAGTCCCTAAGACTCTCTGCTGACTAGTCCTCAGTGCTGTATTCAACATGAAATCTCTATAGAATTAGAGGCCCCAAGGTCCTCTATAAAATTGAAACCGTTGACACTAAGCGTTGACACTGGGTAGGTACCCCTTATTAAGTCAGGGGGTTAAAATGCACCATTTTCCAGGAAGTAACGTTCCCGATTCTGTAGAGGAAACTCCAAGGGGGATGCTGAAATATACTTGATCTTAAATATTCTGAAATGTATGCATTGCAGGGGGTACCAATGACTACCTTAGCCAGATCTATTCCCTCCATTTTCCAAAAATGATGTGCTTTTCGGCTACCCAACCCCTTAAAATACATTTTTCAAAGAAGGGTATTCCCAGAAAAAAATTAAGCATTCCCGGGGATCCTGGAAAAACCAAACCCGTAAAATGTATTAAACCACCCCCCCAAAATAAAAGATCCTGGGGGGGGTTGGATATCCCGACCCATGGATCCTACATTTAACGTACACCCACCGGTCAAATAATGTATTTTGGGGGGGTCCTGGGGAATCAAATTCTTGGAGAACGGTAAATGTATTTTTTTTCCCCAACCTCTCCCCCCCCTAAAATACATTTTTAGGGGTGGGTGATCTTCTTTGACCGTTAGAAGGCGACCTGACGCCTTCCGACCGGGCAGCGGCGCGAAGCCTTTTATGCGACCGCCCTTTTCACTGCCATGCTGTTCAAGTGTGGCGAAGGGTGCTTTCTCCGAGCTGGCGGTTCGTTTTTGAGCTTTTTGGCTGGCCTTTGAAATGGGCGTTTCGGCATGGCAAAACGTACGTTTTAAGCCTTTTAGCTGGCCTTTGAGTGAACCTTGTTCTGTAAGCGTTTCAAAGCAAGCAAGCGGGCCACGAACTATAGCAGCCTTTCGAGAACCTCACTGCCATGCTGTTAAAGCATGGCGATGGGTCCTTTTTCGAAGGCACGATCTGCCCCGCAGTGCCATGCCGTTTCGCCATTGCAAAACGTACGTTTTTGGCCTTTTGGCTGGCCTTTGAACCTTGTTCTATAGGCGTTTCAAAGCCAGCAAATGGGCCACGACCTGGCGGCCCTTTGAGAAGCCTTCCGTCCTTTACTGCCATGCTGTTAAAGCGTGGCGAGGGGTGCTTTTTCCCGAGCTGGGGGCTGCTCAATGCCTTCCGACCGGGCAGCGGCGCGAAGCATTCCGTCATCCACTGCGAGGGCTGCTTTTTCGAAGGCACAATCTGCCCCACAGTGCCATGCCGTTTCGGCGTGGCAAAACGTACGTTTTGAGCCTTTTGGCTGGCCTTTGAACCTTGTTCTATAAGCGTTTCAAAGCCAGCAAATGGGCCACGACCCAGCGGCCCTTCGAGAAGCCTTCCGCCCTTCACTGCCATGCTGTTAAAGCATGGTGAGGGGTGCTTTTTCGAAGGCGCGATCTGCCGCGCAGTGCCATGCCATTTCGGCGTGGCAAAACGTACGTTTTTGAGCTTTTTGGCTGGCCTTTGAACCTTGTTTTGTAGGCGTTCAAGTCCAGCAAATGGGCTCCGCACCCGCTAATTTAGCGAGCCTACTTTTTGCCCTCTGGAGCCACAAATCATCGGAAAAACACAGTGTTTCGCGACTTTCCTACCTTTTCGCGCACCTGGATCTTCTTTCTTCAAAGACTTTCTCCTTTTTGATCTTCTTTTTTTTTCTCTTCTCTTCTCTGGCTCTTCCCATCTCTGCTTTTCATCTGTCCATATTGTCGGAAGTTTGACTTCTAAACTTCCTTCGACTATATCCTATCCGATCCTATCCTATCCATCCATCATCATCCATCCATCCATCGATCTATCTATCTAATCTAATCTGCGCATACATATACATTAAACTTACCTATTTTTGCATTCTGTCGCCATGCTCCTTCCTTTTCCACTGCCATGCCTCCCATAAAGAGGGGTCCACGGCACCAGGGCGGTAGCCCTACTTATATATATGGTTCTACCTTTTAGGCTTCTGGGGGGGTGGGGGGAGTTAGGGCTCACGAATGTTGATGGTTCAGTGTGTTAGAATGTTTTTCTTATAACTTCTTATCATATACCAATCCAGCAATGGTTCTACCTTTTAGGCTTCTGGGGGGGTTGGGCTCACGACTGTTGATGCTTCAGGGTGTTAGAATGTTTCTTACCATGTGCGAATCCAGACAATAAAATGGTTCTACCTTTTAGGCTTTGGGGGGTGGGGGGGTTAGGGCCCACGACTGTTGATGCTTCAGGGTGTTAGAACATTTCTCATCATGTGCCAATCAAGATACAATAATAACAACGGTTCTACTTTTTAGGCTTTTGGTGGGTAAGGGGTGGTTTAAGGCTCACGACTAGTTGAAGGTTCAGGGTGTTGGAATGTTTCTTATCATGTGCCACTCCAGATAATAACACTGGTTCTACCTTTTAGGCTTCTGGGGGGGTGGGGGGAGTTAGGGCTCACGAATGTTGATGGTTCAGGGTGTTAGAATGTTTTTCTTATAACTTCTTATCATATACCAATCCAGCAATGGTTCTACCTTTTAGGCTTCTGGGGGGGTTGGGCTCACGACTGTTGATGCTTCAGGGTGTTAGAATGTTTCTTACCATGTGCGAATCCAGACAATAAAATGGTTCTACCTTTTAGGCTTTGGGGGGTGGGGGGGTTAGGGCCCACGACTGTTGATGCTTCAGGGTGTTAGAACATTTCTCATCATGTGCCAATCAAGATACAATAATAACAACGGTTCTACTTTTTAGGCTTTTGGTGGGTAAGGGGTGGTTTAAGGCTCACGACTAGTTGAAGGTTCAGGGTGTTGGAATGTTTCTTATCATGTGCCACTCCAGATAATAACACTGGTTCTGCCTTTTAGGCTTTTGGGGGGGTGAGGGGGTTCGGGCTCACGACTACTGATGGTTCAGGGTGTTAGAATGTTGCTTGTCATGTGCCAATCCAGATAATAAAATGGTTCTACCTTTTAAGCTTTTTGGGGGTGGGGTGGGGTTAAGGCTCACGACTGTTCATGGTTCAGGGCGTTAGGATGTTTATTATCATGTGCCAATCCAGGTAATAACAACGGTTCTACCTTTTAGGCTTTTGGGGGGTGGGGGGGTTAGGGCTCACGACTGTTGATGGTTCATGGTGTTAGAATGTTTCATATCATGTGCCAATCCGGATAATAAAATGGTTCTACCGTTCTACCTTTTAGGCTTTTGGGGGGGTGGGGGGGGTTAGGGTTCACGAATGTTGATGGCTCACGAATGTTGAGGGGGTTAGGGTTCACGAATGTTGATATATGGCCTTGGATGGTGATGAAGATCATGATGATCAGGCGAGTTACAAAGCGATGCCTTTTACCGCGTTCCGAAGCGATGCGCTTCGTCGCGTTCCGAAGCGAGGACCTAACCTCATTCTATCATTGTATCACTATACTGCCGCTAGCTTGATTATTCATAATAATTTCTCATGCACAAGTCACAAGACCATATGCAATTATCCAATCCAAGGGTCATTAATTCTGCGCCATGCTCGTATCCACCCCTTCACTGTGAAGGGTGCAATATCCCAGTACTCTACCATCCCCTACCCTTGCCTCCATGGCAGTGCGCATGATGTCTGAAGGCTTTAAGTTCGCTTTTTGCAGTGCCGCAGCATCGCTTGCTGGGCCCAAAGCATCGATCCACTCCATGACTAAAACACGCTGTCCGGAGACCTTCCTGGTGTGGTGCCACAGATGTGTCCCATAGTGGTACAAATCACAAGCCAAAACCTTTGAGCCTGTGGGTAAGGGACCACTCAAACAAAAAAGAGATGACTCAGCGAAGTTTGGGAAGGAGAGAAAGGCAAAGAAATGCCGCACACTCAGCAGATCTCGCACATGAACTAAGGATGAGGTCAGTCAGTCAAATGTGAGGTAAATTGCGGGTTGTGCCGGTTCTGCCGAGGAACTCTTGCACTTTGGGCACTACAACCTTTCCCTTCAAATGCCGACACGCATCCTCAGAGTCACAAGGATCGATTTTCAATGAAGACGGAACCGTCGGTGAACGTTTGTGCATCTGAATCTGGGCAATTGCAAAAAGAAATGCAAAAGCCGGAGCATCCAGCTCTTCTTGTGCGCGTTTGGCATGAACTGCTTCAACGCGAAAGTCCAACTCGTCAGACAGCTGTTGCCTGGTGTAGTCATAGGTCCACACCTTGCAGCTCAGCATGTTTTGCATCCATTCTACTGCTGCTGAAGTGGCGTGACTGCTGTACTTATTTGCTTGGCTGGGCATCCAACCATTGGAAGGTCAAATGCACGTTCCACCACTAGAAGCACGATCTTGTACAGAAACAAGTCCCAGCCATTCTGCGCTTTGATGTTTGGCTTCCTGAGGTATCAGTCAAAGAAACTTGCCTCAAGACAGCCACTAGGTCTCCCCCCCCTCTCTCTCTCTCTCCTCCTTCTCCCTCTCCCTCTCCCCCTCCCCCTCTCCCCCTCTCCCCCTCTCCCCCGCTCTCCCTCTCTCTCTGTCTCTCGCGCTCTCTCTCTCTCTCTCTCTCTGTGTCTCTGGCAACTGAGATTAATTAAAACCGGCAGAGTTGTCTGGATAATATTGGAGTTGGGGATGGTGAATTGAGGATGGTGTGAAACTTCCAAGCCTGACAGAGGTGTGCTCAATTTCTCAGCAATATTTAGCAATCAGCAACTCGCTGAGAAAAAACACATCTCAGCTTGCGTTTGCCGTGAGTCCATGACAACAAACTACATCACATACATACACTAGATTCCATGGATTCTTTCTAAGGTTCTGCACCTTCACAGCCACGGGTAAACCTTGGCCATCAGCTGCAAATTCCGGCCGCAGCGTTGCCCGATGCACTTGGGCGATACCTTGGCCCAACAATACTACAGTAAATGTAACCTGTCTTTCAAGCGCTGACTCTTGCAGTGGCGTTCGTGCAGGTGCAATTTTTGGTTTACATTTATACTCAAAGATTGGCTCTTGCTTAGCTATCTTAGCTTTCCTCCAACAGAATGGTTGAATGCCAAGTCAAGTGCATGGACTCAAACAACGCAAGAAAAGAAGAGGTTCATAATGGATGCAGGTTCTCCTTTCCTACTTTCCACCTGGGCATGGGCCCAACACAAAGACTGCTCAAATATGGCCAAGACTGCTGGCTGAGGCGATGGGCTTCTCTTCGAAGTCGCTAAAGACGTCCTCCATGAATGAGAACAAGCATTAAGCATGAACCAGCGAAGAAACCAACTGGAAACTAGGGCGCAAAGACAGCCAGCAATAAACTAAGTCCTCTATTTTCTTGCCCAGCTCACCCTCCACGACATTTCGGACCTGCAAACTGAATCAATGGAAAGTTTGCATTTCTGAATCTGAGCTGGGTTTTGGCGCTGAATGTCCCTATGCATTGCCCAGTCATGTAACAAAGCTATCCTATTGATACTGGATAGTCTCGTCAGAGTCCTGTCACTTTCCTCCACCGCACGAAAGCAAAACAAAAATGGTGATTGTCATTGTTTGTTTGTACAAAGCCTTACGAAGGCGCCTCCGGAAAGTCAAAGGTAGCAGCTTGGTCATGCAAAGTCCGCAGCTCGTTCTTGTATTCCTGCGGTAGCACGATGTCCTCAGCTATACTGCTATGCTGTCACTGCACTGGACCACCTGTGCTAGCTCTGCATTCCAGGGGAACGGGGCAACCGAAAAAGGGCAACCCCAATGCAGCCAAGCATCCATGGTGGACATGGCCTGCCCAAACTTGACGTACAAACCCTCATTGCGCCGGAGACAGTCAACCAGCCGTTTTGCAACTCGGCCATGCACGAGGTCAGAGGTCTCTGGTGTCCAGCACACCTTGTACCTTGGCCCCATCAAACGCATCTCCACATGTAAAGCTGCGCTAGCCCAAATACAAACAGCAGCTGTCGACCATCAGCAAACCTTGCGAGTCTTGCAGCTACCTGCCAGTTACTGCAAGTTCCATGATAAGCCTGTTTGAATCATAGACACAATGTGAGGCCTCACCTGCTTTTATGTCAGGCAAGTCACTGCCACAAGAGGTAGATCCCTGCCTTCACAGTCCGTGCAGAACGTTGCAGAACACGGTGCCAATATAGCTCCTGAGCAAGGACGGATCCGATTCGTCGTGCCCATGACGAGTGTCCTCTGCTTTGAACCATCCAACTATACACTGCTGGGCCTGGCAACACTGAAACTGGATGAGACTGGAGCACCAACTGTTCCCATTGAAACCCATTCAAACATGTCACATCATGTCACATCATTCACGATCATGTTGATGGTGCTCAATCTCATGGGTCAAGGCACATCAGCGGCCCAAGTGGCCCCACCCACGCCGACTAGCACAGGTAGTCCGCGCAAGAGTCGCGATCGGGAGCGCTGTGCCATGGCACAACACGAGACTGTCCAAATATGTCAAGTTGGTGAAGCTGGGGAGCTTGAAGGTCTCATTGCCATGTGGGTGCAAAGAGTCTGGGTATTCTGAGTATATAATGTCTGGACTCCAGGTTTCAACGAGGTGAATTCTGGTATGTCCGGGTCAGTCGTTTTGGAGATTATTGGTGGCCAAGATCAAGCATTTTGGCCCTTGCATTGATTCAAATGAAACAATGGTGATGACATGTTCTCTTCATCTTTCTGAGCAAATGCTACAGCCGTTGAAATCTACTGCCGTGTTTTGACAGAACCAGTACTTCCAGGCGCATATGAAATTCAATGTAAAACAGCCTTTGTTACAAATAACATCAACTAACCTGGTCAACTACTTTCTGATCATTGAAGCCCCTGGAGTGAAACATATCCGCCTTGCTGCCCACCGTCTTGGCGTAGGATTGACAGAAACCGCTCAGAGTGAAAAACCTCCAGCCATCTCCAGCCAAATCACTGAAATCACACAGCGCTTCTAGAAACAACTCTTGTGAACAGCTAGGTGGACAGCTAGGTGAACAGCCAGGCTCCCCTGCATCGGGGCGGCCAAAACACCCCAACTGGAGAAGACGGAAAGGACACCGGCCTGGCGTGAAATTTTGCTGCAGATCGTTGGATCCCCCCTAAATCGCAGATGCACTTTTGCCCCCAGCTCTCCACAGCCTTGCGACCTGGGGAAGGGGAGGAAGGTGTACCAGGCAAAGGATGGCAAAGGGCTGTGTATTACAGTATTCAGTTTCCAAGAAAATGTACCGTCATTGGAAAAGAGGCTGCATCTTGGGCCGTGCAATTTCTCTAGAGATTGTCTGAGTCTTCAATTGACAGCAAAATGTGCATGCAATCCTTGTCCCTTCTTTTAGGCCTGCGGGTAAAGCGCGCATGCAGTCGAATCTACTCCAAACGGCAGATGCATGCATGGAGATCACCAACAATAGCAACCAGCAACTTGAAGTAATTTGTTATATATCATGATATGAAGCAATGTTATATATTTGCTGAAGGTTGGCCGTGATGTGTGCCTTCTTCCGAGAGGCACTGTTGCTAACCATCTCGTCACACATATTTATGCTGATCCTACGTCGGCAATCTCCAGTAAACAACGATCGAACATTGAGCGAGCTCATCGAACCTTGGAATCTGCAAAAGTGGCCAAGTAGTGACCCAACCGAAGGCAGACTGAAGTCTTCAAAAAAGTTCACGCAGAAACATAGGCGTTCGTCAATGAAAACGAATCGAGAATCACTGGTGACCATTTTAGGTTCAAGTCGTGCTTTCGGCCCAAACAATGCTTTACAGGTTCCGCTCCTCTAGGGTGCCCTGGACAAAGCAAAAACTTGAATGTACCCCTTATGAGTTGCCTGCTTCGTTGGCCAAGTGCATAAAATTCTTAAGATGAGTTCATGATTCACCAGACTTTTGATATCGTTTGATGCTGTTAGTCCTAAAGCTGCGAAAGTTCTCTCTTTTCCGCTGACATCCATTGGCATGAATTTGAAGGCAAGGGGTGCATCCTTTGCAGCTTTGTCCATGGTCGATCTGTGGGTTCTGCAATAAACCACGGGCACAGCCGGCACAGCCGCTTGCTCTTTGGGATGATCTGCTCTCTGCAATGAGCAGCGAGATATTTTTGACATTTTGTGACATGAATCTACTGGGGGCTTTCATGAACTCAAGCGTTTGGCGACCGTCTCAAAGAGCGGATTTAGCTTTACGGTCCCCTGTCAATCTGGTTTTATAATTAGCAGGGAAACTGGGAAGTCTGGAAGTTGTCGGATGATCCTGGAAACAGTGGGGCCCTCCACTTTAAAAGGAGAAACCCCACAGGAACATCTATCCAGCTGTGCATTTTACTTCAAATCCGCACCGTGACGTGTGGGTAAGGCACTTCGCCATCATTTCTTGCTGACAGCGAGTCGAACTACTGGCAATCTGCCATGGAACAAAACAGCAAATGGATGCAAATGGTGTCTCATCTTTGATTTCACCAATAGGTCCTAGGTTTTGCGCAGACCTTGAGAGCCACATCCCCGTCAGAGTAGCACATGTGTCCAGGTCTCTGTCTATATGCAGTTAAGTAAACACACATGTCAAAATAGATCAATTAAATCCAATAAATATGCGCATATATGCATTCCATATTTGAATGAATATTATATAATTATATACTATTATCCAGTGTGCCATAGATCCCTTGCCGGATCTGCGGTTCCGTCAGGTCTGTAAGGATGTCTCTAATCGATCACTGACACAGTCCCGAACGAGCGACCAAAGCCTCAGGAACTTGAGGACCCTAGTAGCGCCTGGAAGCTGTCCTTCACTAAAGAAAGGCATTGCAGTATGTCTGTGAACATTGAGATCATGTTCTATTATGTTCTATCATCTGTGTTTTCTGACTTGTCTTACTCATGTTGTCTTGTTTTGTCTTCTCTTGTTTTCCATGCCTTTCTTTAAAGAAGATTGTCAATTGAAACAACTACTGTATCGATGTAGGAAAATCCACCAGAGATTCTCTGTGACCCTCCTGGTGCGGCTCATGCTCATGGGGCGCTGGGGCATATCTTCCAGCCCTTTGCAACGACACGGCCATCAGAGACCCACATAATGTCAGTGAATGGGACGATTCCCTCAGGACTTCGATTTCCAGAGAAGGAGTCGCAATTCATCAGCATCTGATCCTGGACTGCGGCTGGGTTGGAGTGCGGGGCAGGGAACCATGAAGAGGCCTTATGATTTTCTATCTTTCTCATTCTTCCCACGGCAAGCTGAAAAGAGTGGGTAAGAAGCATCAGGCGAGGGTCAAAGCCAGGTTCGGTGCGAAACTCTTCCACATGTATTGGCACTGCTGAAGATGAATTCACCGAGATGGCACAGTAGCTGTCCACCGAGTAGTTTGAGGGAAAGCCAGGGCTTGCAATGCAGCCCTTCTCGTCAATTTGACAAGCACCTTTGGTGACGCTCCACATCTGCCCATGAAAGTCGATCTTTGGCAACTCTTCACCTCAGGATGCAGGTGATTCCCCAAACTTTCCAGTCGCTTGCTCTGCGTGCTACCACTCTGAAAGTCCGTGCTTTTAAAGGATCTTTTAGGGATGCATCACGGTATCACTCGAAGCTTAGTGGCGCATGCCCAAGTCTAAGCTTGACATAATTGGCTTTGGCGAGTTTTGCCGATGGCCAAGTTGGCCAAGTCACTGGAAGCCATGGTGTTGTAGATCCAATCCAAGGCTCGGTAGACACGAGCATAGACGCCGGGATAGCGCGAGGCACAGCCCAAGCCCCAAGACGTGACGCCACGAACGACGAAGAAACCTTTCTCCGAGCAGACCATTGGCCCGCCACTGTCTCCGTGACAAGCATCGGTGATGCCGGACTCCGAGAGACCAGAAGCACAAAGCATGGAAGCTGTGATGCTGGAGTTTTGTTCTGCATATTTCTGGGTACACAGCTCATTTGTGAGTGTGGTCACTGAGGCCTCCTGCAAAACGCTTGGTCGTGGTCCTGTTGCTGCTGCCCCCCAGCCAGTTATGCTGCACCCCTGGCCAGGTGTGTCCTCTTCGGACGGCAAGCACGCCAAGCCGATGCATTCGTTGATCGGCATCGCTTTGTCCAGCTCCAACAGAGCAAAGTCATAGTCGGACGGTGCCTCGCTCGAGTACCTCACACACAATAACACCCAACACCTTTGTAGTCACACATGCCGGGACGCAGTGGGATGCTTCATCGTGTGTACACATGATTATATATATAATTAATGTATATTAATGTTACATATATATGTGTGTGTGTGCGCGTGTGCGTGTGTGATTTCATATGCCCCTTGTCCCTCGATGTCTGCATGTGTCTTGCTTCAATCAGAATCAGTGCTTCTTCGGGGCCTTGGATGTTTGATGATCCTTGTCACGTTCCGCTGGGTGATGCTGTCTGGGGCTTTCAATGCGTGGTTCCACTCGCCAGCAACAACGTGCACAAATCCACGATCACATTTGCCTCAGCAAGCTGCGAACATGAAGGGCACAAACCGATCAAGACTACTCCGACATACTCTGACCAACCCTCACAAACACAACACTCACATTTTTTACAGCTACCAATGATCTACCGTGCCAGTGTAATCAGTTTTGAGTATATAAGGGGTGCATACTGTCTCATTATCAGCTTTCCGTGTGTGTGTGTGAATGTGCAACTGCATTTAGTGCAACCTGGCACTGTAGGAGCCAACGCAATGAGCTGCCGTGAGAACCCACTTCCGATCTATGAGGGTACCACCACAGAAGTGTGATTCCTTGGACGTGGGCATACGTGGGCAGAAAATGTTGTTCTTCAACTGTCAGACCGGAACGGTGCTGGATGATGCTTTCGTTGGTGAATTGCCATCATACCAAAAGATCCAAAAGCATAGAAAACTGCAGAACCTAGCCTTGCTGGATTAAGCAAGAGTCTGTGCTGTTCCTTCGCCTGTCGTGCAAGCTTACCTGCCATCGCCAAGTGCACTTGTCTGCGCTCCTGCCATGCCTCGGCACAGGTGACAGCTGTTTCTCACAAGTCGGTAGCCACAGAAAGGGTGATCGGAACGCGCAAACAAATACACACAATTAATGGCGTTGCTAAGCGAAAGTAGAATCGTAGAAAGATGTTGTCGCAACAGTTTGCAGCTGACTGCATAGCCCAGACACATGATACGATTTTGGAATCCTCAGCTTGGCAGGAGCTTGCGGCTGTTGCGGCTAAGGCTTTCTTCGAAGATCTTCGAAGGCATGGTTTGTTTAGGTGTATTGATACAAAGGGCTTGCCCTCGTATCACAGAGTCGTACAGCAATTCCACATAATTCCGCGTCAGAGCAAATCAGGGGCAGTCACTTTCTATCCTGCCGTGGGCTCTTAAAATGCTCACAAGCATGGAAAATACATTACAGGTTCAAAGTTGCATACAGATCAATATCAAGACCAATAACAAGAAGTCATTCCATCGACGACCGACCTTTTCGAAATCCTTCCAATGTGGTCCCAGTATCCAAGCGATCGACCGCCAAGAACTCCACACTTCTGCAAATCACGCTGCGCACTTGACTCACCTCGCAGGTTTGGCTCTGCCCAGCCAAAGCCTCCGTTGAAGCAGAACATCAAACTGTGAAGTTGATGTGAGGACCTTGCATCCTCATCCGTCAGTGTGGTCCTTTGAGGATTCACTATGCCTTACAACTGTCTGTAACAAGTACTGAGTACTGTATGGAACTATCACAGCAAGAAAATGTTCAGAGGCTGATGCCGGTACTGTCAGCATCATGTCAATATGACATTTGCAGTCTTCCGCCCACACGAGACCAGCCATCTTTATTAATGTGGATTACCTACATGTTTGTTCAAGTGCATGCCCTTGTATGAATGTGCACGCCATGGTCTTGAACGTTTCAAGACATACAAAACATATCGGCATTCATTCAGGATCCTTCTCAATTCTCAGCGTTCGTCTCTGTTTTGGCAATCCTCATCTTTGACCATACTCTATCGTGGCTGCATTATTTTTGGATCCTATCCCATTCTATCCATCGCATACCTGCAATCCAGAGGCTGAGACCAAACACCAACCAAAACCATGAGCACCGCATCATCATTGGCAGCTCCGAGTGCCCAGCACGGCCACAAGTAGCAACTAAAACGGTTCACTCCCAATCTCTCTGTGGGTTTAACAGTGTGAATCTGATCGATGCTTAAATATTGCTCCGTTTCGTTGTATATGATCGTATGCATTCAACATTTCAAAGGTTGAAACTAATTTTGCTCACGTGTTTGATGAAACATTACGGACCTAGACCTCTTTGCTGCATCTAGCCAGAGCAAGCAACATCGGGCAACAATCAAATACGTGCTTCTCACAATCTTGCACACAATGGTGCAACTGCAGACCTGGTCTGCACAACTCAGCAAACGTCAGATTGAGACCCAGACTCTGGACCTCTTGTACGGTCCAAGGGTAGAAGTTAACGAGGAGCACCATGAGAGACCTCTAGAAACCATGAGACAGGGAGACAAGCAAAGGTTTGCGCCTGGAATGTGACAACCGGTGTTTTTCTCCATGAGGGAAGCATCACAGGTCTCTTTTTGTACTCGTATCCTTTTCATGGTGACCAACTGCATCGAGGGGCAAAAGGAATCGAAGAGTGCCTAGTGCTGGAAAGTGATGAAATTCCCCGACCTTCCATGGTTGAGCATGCTCATGGCTGGACTGCTAATGGCTCGCTCATGTGAGGTTGTTGTGCTAGGCAGTTATTGATGTAATTACTGGCCAACTTGCAGTCTTGTCACTGGCTGTCTCTGGTCACTATAGTCATCTATAGTCGTTTGCAAATTCAAAAGCCCGTTTGAGAGAGGTCTTGGTCGCCCTCTTTCCCCTGGGGATGCGCATCAACTCTTTGGTTGCACGTGACGCTCCATGATACATGACGCCAGAACAATCAACAACATCAAGTAGCCCAGTTGATGCCAAGAGCCTTATTTGTTTCCACATCTTCAGGTCAGTGGGAGCTTCTTACCTTTTGGTTGCCGTGGATTCTATTGACATCCCGACCGAATTTAGGGGACAAGTTCGTCAAGTACAAGAAAAAAGTCTTTGGCTGTATACTGTATTCCCACTTAATGATTGAGACGCTCACATGAACCCCAACATACCAACCATATGAAGTTGGATGGTGCTCAACGCTGTTCATACATAGCCACCTTGACATCTTCATCGACGCTCCCGCCCCCTCTGCCTTTTGTAACTCCGATGGGCTGCCCAAAGTTGCAGATCCCTGTGGTTCAAGCAGTGCCAAATGGACGACATGGACTATCTTTGGATAGGCAGCTGCTCTGCAGCATGATACTCAGCCAATACTCGGCTCAAAGCTTGTTTTCCTGCCTTATTTCATCAAAAATGAATACGAATTCCACACTATTTCTATGCCAGAAGATGGCCAACAAGCACGATTGATCGTAGTCGACCCGTCCCCAACTGGGTCCCGTTGCCAATGAATCTTGGGAGCAAGACAGCGGTGACAGCAGGCTTTCTATTCCTGAGTAGAGTTGAAGAATGAGCATAAACCTGCAAAGAGAAAATGCAAACCATGGAGACATGCCAGGTGAAATCTTATCACACTGTAAAATAGTATTCCAACTGGATAGGAATACTAAGGGAAAGTGACGTAACTCCTGGGCTTATTTCGACCGCATGCATACATCCTCATACCATCATCGACTCATATCTGGTCCACCCGGCCACCCAAGGCTTGGGCCCCACAACAGGCCAATGCAAATGACCAGCATGATGACAGCAAGTAATCTGGCAGTGGCATTCCCCCATGGTGCTATCTTGCAACAGGTGAAACAAACCTTGGCCTGGGGACGGATGAGCGAAAGCTTCTCGTGGCCTCCCCAAAAAGGCCGATGTGTTGGATTGTCCTTTAGAGATCTTCTTCCAATGTGATCGCAGAATTCATGTGATGTTGCAAACAGTAGGGGAAGGTCTACAATGATTCTGACGCCCCAGGACGGTCCGCTCTTCACAGCTCATCACAGCTCATCACAGCTCTATCGTGCTCGCAGGACTCTACATAGTAACAGTATACACGAATACACGCAAATAAATACATATGTGAAATGTACATGTCAGTCGGATTCTCTAACATGAACTTATGTGGACATCTGGGCACGAGCCCCCTTAGCATAGCCGACGATCAACCAAAAGGCGCGATGGATCTACCACCTGTGTACCATAGTTGAGGTGCACAGGTGGTAGCGGAGCTGCCAAAACCAAGAGCAAACGCTGTTGGATTGGGCAGAGCGACAGAGGATTGGAACGTGGACTATGTCAGGGAGCAAGGATGACACAAACGCAAGAACAAACTTAGAGACCTTCTCAGGAGAGGATGCGTCAGAATACCGTAGATGGAGACGAAAGGCAGAACTGTACTTGATGGGGCTACCCACAACGGTCCCTGAGAGCAAATGGGGAGCCAGACTAGTTGAACATCTACGGGGAGAAGCGGAAGAGTTGATGGAACATGTAGAGCTGAGTACCATCACTGATGACAAGGGTTACAAAAAGGTGTTTGAACTTCTTGACGAGCGCTACAAAGAGCTGGACAAGGACGAGCTTCAACGCTGTCTCAAGTCGTACTTCTATGCGGCGCCAATCAAGAACCAGGAGACCTATAGGAACTTTGTCATACGGATGGACACAGCCTACAGAGGGCTGACACGGCACAAAGTAGAACTACCTGAGCCAGTTAGAGGGTGGATTCTACTGAAGAAGCTTCTTTTGGACTCGACATCTGAGGCCCTGATCATGACGTCTACATCGGGGTCACTGAACTACACAGATGTCCTAGGAGCTCTCAAGGCTGTGTTCCCAAATGGCCAGGGTCCCGGAGTGAACCCAGGCAAATCAAAGGACAAGGAGATCTTCATTGCCCAGGAAGACAGTGAGACACCAAATGAGGCCACTGAACTTGAAGTACCAGGCAACGATGACTTCTTAGAGGTCATGGAAGCAGTCGCCACTCAAGCTCAAGAACAGAGTGACTATGAGTCTGAGGATGCATTGGAGGTGTTCGAGAACTACTCTAGCATTCGAAAAAAGATGCAGGAGAAGAAGACCTCTCGTGGCTTCAGACAAGTGAACACGACTGAGAAACAATGGAAGCTTGAAGGAAGCTTTCAAGGAAAGCTGTCACTCTTGAAGGCAAAGACCAGATGTCATCACTGCAGGAGAATGGGTCATTGGAAGAAGGAATGCCCGCTTCGACAAAATCAAGGCAAGAAGAGCGAAGGAGGCCAGAAGGAGGTCCACATTGTAGAGAGCTACAGTGATGACGAGGCCTTCTTTGAGAGCTATGTCCTAGACGAGGTCAAGGGCAAGGACTATGAGCAGGAGTACCACGGGTACCAGGAGACTGACACCAAGACCAAGACGGAGACACAGAAAGACCAGGGTGCCAAGAGGAATCGAGACATATGGGTCTTAGACAAGGAAATGGGTGTCTTGGAACGCATCCATCAGAAAGAAAGGAAGGGACTTTTCACACCACATGGAGTCAAAGATCTTCCTATCGCCATGGAGGAATTCTCGGGCGAACGGGAGACAATCATGATCAATGTGGCCACCGGAGAAAAGAGTGTCATCAAGGACAACTACCATACGACCAGAGTACCCCATCAGAAGATGGACTACAACTGGCGTGGAAAGACAAAACTCTACCTGAAGACCATGGACCAGTCCAAGAAGTCAAGTACCTCGACTAAGGTGGTGGATCCAGATGCTCAGCTGCGACTTTTTGAACATGAAGTGCTGAGCGCAATTCATGAGGGGGCGCAGCCAGTTTTTTCCAAGTCTGACCAGGCAGCAACCCTGGATTCTCACGCAGTTCCCGACACGGCATGTCGCCGTACGCTGATCGGTGATTATGTGCTGTCATTGCTTGAGTCTAGGTTGAATGAGAAGGGTCTCATTGTGACTAGGCGTAGAGAAGTTAATGAATTCCGTTTTGGGAACGCGGGGATTTTGAAGTCTTGTGAAGTAGCTAGCATACCGGTTACTATTGGGGAAAGACATGTGGTTGTCAATGCAGCAGTTTTGCCTGAACCAGGCAGCCGAACACCGTTTCTCTTTTCAAAAGAACTGTTGAAGAGTTTGGAATGTATTCTTGATACTACTACTGATGAGATGGTCTTCAAAAGAATCAACCAGCGAGTGAAGATGGGGAAGACAGAAAGGGGCCACTACGCAATACCAATACTGCCACGAGAGTTCATCTACAAGAAGCCGTCAGCGGTTCAAGGTGAAGAGACCGCCTCGAGGAAATCTGAGTGCCATGTATCGCACGCAGGAAGTGCCAATGACACCACTGGCACAAGAGTTGATGAACGGGCTCATCGTGGAAGACAAGATCGACATGACCCAGGAAGAGATCGATCGCTACAGCGACCACGAGGAAGACGAGCCAATGAAGCCAGTTCATGGACAGGAAGTGATGAAGGCCGGCAAGTACAAGAACACTCACAACATGGAGTATGCCTACACTCAGGACAAGAAGCATCTGAAGTGGGTGCGCTCCAACATCCAGCCACAGGGTTCAAGTCCAGAGATGAGGCGTTACCGCCTCTATGTGGAGATGAGAGACCAGAAGAAGAGTCAGAGACTCTTGAGCCGAATGGAACAGCAGCGTCCAGTTGCTCCTCAACCCAAGACCCATGTGGCAGCAATGACCACAGCCAAGGCGAAGGCAAAGTCAGTGGAACCACCAGCGAGCTCAAGACGTCGAGAGAGAGAGGGAGAAGGATGGTCTCACGAGATGACAGCGATGGAGATGGACTACGACGAGTACAAGACATGGGCATTTCTGGACGAGCTAGAGAAGGAAAAGAACCAAGAGCAGCAGAATCAGATGTGGCAGGAGATCGTCACACATGTGGCAGAGCAGAACCCAGAGAAGGCACAGAAGATGATGCAGGTGTCCGAGATCATGGGCATTCACATGGCATGGAAGATGTTCAAGGCAGTCGGGGAAAAATAGAGCCACTGGAGGAAGTGAGCAGAAGTGTGATAGAAGCGGGGCTGGACAAGATTGAGCGGGAAGCTCAAAAATGTAGATGTGATGTGATGATTATAAGCCAAACCTCCCTATCACAGCATGAGGTGGCGGAGATTTTCTCTGTTCCACGAGTAAGTCAAGCAGCTGCAGCTGTGGGACTGAAGTGTGGACCGTCGTATGACATACTTACCGGTGTTGACTTGCGCGACAAAAAGGAGCGTGACCGAGTGCGGGAGGAACTTAGGGTGAGAAAACCAAAGCTGCTGGTGGTGTGTCCACCATGCGGGCCCTTTTCCCCACTCCAAAATTTGAGAAAACACTGGGATACCAAGGAATGGTTGAAACAACTTTATGAAGGGAAAATCTTTCTGAGATACGCTGCACAGCTGATTCAGGACCAAATGGACAGGGGTGACATCTTTGTTTTTGAGCATCCCTTGAGAGCGAAGTCATGGAATGATGTTTGCATGCAAAGGCTCTTGAAAAATGACCAGGTGCACAGGGTTGCGGCTGACCAGTGTATGTTTGGATTGAAAGACAGAATCAGCAAAAGACGTCATAGAAAAAGTACGGGTATCATGACTAACAGTAAACATGTGGCTCAAGAAATGGAACTGAAGTGCAGTCAAGACCATGAACATGAACCAATCATGGGACAGGTGCGGATCGGAGGACAATGGGTGTCTCGTTCAAAGCTGGCTCAAGAGTACCCCCAACAATTTGTCAAGGCTCTTTTAAGGGGTTTTCTGATGGACATGCATGAGAGAGAACAGAGTCATGTAGTTCATTGTGTCTTGACGGTCGAAGGGTTGGACGAAAACAAACAAGACGACAAACGGATTGCTGTGTTGCTGAAACGATGTCATGAAAACCTTGGACACCCTTCCACACCACGGTTCATTGGAATGCTGAAAGCTGCTAGGGCTACGGAAAAATGTATCCAAATCGCTAAGGGTCTTAGGTGCACGACATGTGAACAGTTCCAACAACAGAAATCTCACCATGTTTCCAAAGCCACCCCCATTTATCATTTCAATGATGTGGTTGCCATGGATACGTTTGAAGTTGAGCTTTCTAGGAGAAAGTTGAAAGTGTTGAACATCATTGACCTGGCCACCCATTTCCAGATGTGTGTTCCCTTATGGAAAGGGATTGAAATCAAAAGGATTAGGAAGGCATACAGGTGTTTCTGGAAACGTTGGGCGGGGCCCCCCAAAAAGGTGATTACCGATGGTGGGGGAGAGTTTGGACAAGAGTGGACGGACATGTTGTTTAGGGACGGGTCAATACATGAGACTACAGCAGCCTACAGTCCGTGGCAGAACGGAGTATGCGAACGTGCAGGAGCAACTTGGCAGACGGCTTTTCAAAAAGGGTTACTGGAAGTTGACCCCCAAAGTAAAGAGGAAACCGAAGAGCTTGCCGACCAAATAACTAATGCACGTAACACCTTGGTTAGAAAAGAGGGATACTCTCCATGTCAGCATGTGCTTGGACAAGATGTGAGAATACCTGGATCCATTCTCATGATCGACAGAAATGAACAAATGGAGTCTGCTCTTGAACAAGGAGAGAAGACACATGAAAGAGCACATAGGATCAGAATGGCAGCCAGGAAGGCGTTTTTGGAAGTAGACAGTGAAGACAGGTTGCGTAGGGCACTTAGTCACAGAACCCGACCACAGAGAGGGCCTTTTTCGCCAGGCCAAGAAGTTTTAATTTGGAGAAAGGGTCGTGGGCAAACAAAGTGTCACTGGCAAGGACCTGGGAGGGTTGTTGGAGTGCACTCGGACAAGGTGTGGGTTGCGTTTGGTGCCAAGATATACCGTTGTTGTCCTGAACAAGTTAGGCATCAGAGTAGAGAAGTGCAAGACTTGGCAAGGTGGATTCCAGAAAACTTGAGAATCCACAGAAACAATCTGAGAGAGAGGGGGGCAGGAAATGTCGTGGAATTAGACCGACAGCCTAAGCCTCCTGACTCAGAGCATGAACATGACATGGACGTTGATGGAGGTCAAGACATGAGCATGAACATGGAACATGACATGCATGAGTTTGGTGACAGGCAAATGCAAGAACGGCACTGGCCACAGGAACATCATGTGGACAGTGATCAAATCATGGACACTCCAGAATCTCCCGCACGGACCATGTACAGTCCGAGCATGGGTGTGTCAGTGAACCAAGAGCAGGAGAGTCAAGGATCGGACATGCAGACTGAGGACAAAGATCCAATGATGGAAAATGACACACATGGCATGGAACAACATGACACGGGACAGCATGGCATGGAAAGGCATGGCATGGAACAGCATGTGGAGCAAGAGACGGGACAGCAGGGTTCACAGCCTTCACATAGCATGCAGAGACCAGGTAATGAGCCAGCACTTGAATATGGACCAGTAAGGACGACAAAGCTTACTGAAGCTATGAGAAAAAGCCTGGACAACCTGGATTTTGGAAGACCACGACATGACACACCACAGAAACCAAGTGATCATGCTGCGAATGATGCGTTTGAGTGTGAGTTGTTGCATGACACATACTTGCGTAGGAAACTTGAGGAGTGTGCTACTTGTCATGTTAGTGATGATGTGTTCATGGCCACTGTGAAAAAGGCAGGTAGGAAGGAGATCAACATCAAGAAACTGAACAATGACAGACTAGATGAACTGGTCAATGCAAAGGCCAAAGAGTGGGCGAAGATGATTGACTCCGGAGCTGTTAAAGTGCATGTTGGAGAAGCTGCAAGGAGACTGGTAGAAACGCATGGCGGAAAAAGGTTACTTGAGAGTAGGTACGTGTACACCACGTCTGATGGAAAAGACACTGGGCCCTTGAAAGCAAGGTGGTGTATAAGAGGTTACCTTGACCCTGACATACTTGACCTTGCAACCGCCGCACCAACCTTGTCACCCGAGGGGTTTGCTACAGCCGTCCAAATGATTACCTCAAAGAAATGGAAAATGAAGATCGCAGACATTGAAGCTGCCTTCTTGAGAGGTGATGATATGAAAAGGACACAAGGCAAGGTGCTAGTAAAAGTACCGAGTGATGGCATACCCGGAGTTGACAGTGAGTCAGTCATAGAACTGATAAAACCAGTATACGGGTTGGCAAACGCACCACGACTGTGGTGGAAGTCACTGACGAAGACACTGGGAGAACTGGGAATGCGACAGTCAAAGCTGGATAGTTGTGTTTTTCACTACTGGGACCCCGAAACTAACGTGTTGGATGGAATTATTGCGTTTCATGTGGACGATCTGATAATTGGTGGCAGTGAAAAGTTTTATGATGATGTTTTTGGGAAACTGCAGTCGAAATATCCTTTCAAACATGTGAAAGACAAACAGGGTGAGTTTTTGGGTAAACAATTGGTTCAATGTGATGATGGGACTTTGTGTATCCAACAAAAGGAATATGCGAGTGCCATGGCATGTATTCCTGTGTCAAAAGAGAGAAGGCGAGAAAAAGAAAGTCCCATCACGGAGAACGAGAGGGGACAAATGCGTGCAGTGCTTGGTGAAATCAATTGGTTGGTTTCTGGAAGCCGACCTGACCTAGCTGCTTCATGCTCACTTCTTCAACAAAGAGTGTCAAAAGCTGTTGTTGGTGATTTGATTGAGGTTAACAAGGTTGTTTCTCAGGTTCATGATCATTCCAACACTGAAATCAAGATTCTTCCTATTCCTATTTGCAATTGGTCAATCCAAGAGGCCACACCGCAGGCCACAACGAGTGCTATGGGCACCCTTTTCCTCTATGGAAGCTCGAGCCCCGCCCTAGCGGGAAGTCACAGTTACCTGACATGTCAAAAGGGTCATGCATGAAACACCTGTACTTGCACCACCCATACATCCTGAGCCTTTTGACTCACTGCACGGGGTGATATTTCTCTATGGGGCCTTCATTCCATGGCCAATTGTTCTTCTCGGCAGCGCGTCTCACTTCGTTGATGAAGAACTCTTCCATCTCGCGCAATTTCTTCTCCATCTCACGCTTGTGGACTTTGCGTCCTGATTCGAACTTGGGATCGTCCACCAGCCGCCAGAACTGTCGTTGCGACAGGAACTGGAGGAAGGTCTTTCTGGCTCCAGCTTTTGTGAGGCTATCGCCCAGCTGAGCCAATCCATTCACCCATCTCCATCTCGTTCCAGCTTGAACTCCATTGTTCACCGCCAAGGTGAGCTCGTAGCCAGCTCGCGACTCTCTGAGTCCATGAAGCGGGCTCACATTCTTGGTCATGGCGTCATAGATGCCACGGGAGTCCATCACAACGGCGCCATCCACGGTCTTGACAACCTCATGAACGTTGTCCTTTTCCACGTTGGCGCCACCAATCTCCGCCATCAGCATGCGGATGTTAAAGTTCTGGTCTTCCCCAATGGTTATTGCTTGGGTCTCAGCTCCATTTGAGCCTAAAACCTGTCGTGGCGTTTTGCCACTCTTCCATTGCACCACCGCCAGTTGAACTTCGGCACCTTCCAGCATCTCTTTCGGTCCAATGGCGGTCACAATTCCAATCGTAGAGCTCTTGTCAGGTCTGTTGTGTTGACTGGCGTCGGCCCAGGTCACGCAGGCCAACTGATTCCATGGTATTCCCCATGCTGGGAACAACAAACCTTGCTTCGCCTCACGGCGCATTTCTCTCACAAGCTTATTCACCTTGTAGAGGGTCTCCACAGTGCCCTTGTTGATCTCGGAGAGCAACAGGCTTGTCTCTGCGAGAAACTGTGGTGCGCTCTGTGTTGATCTCCATGAGATAGTTCCCAAAGCTCCACGTAGTGCAGATGTTTCCTCAGGCGTCAGGACGGCCTTTCTAGACCTTGACTTGTCAATGGTGATTTCTTCCATCCAGCGCTCGGTGTACTTCTCCTGGGAGAGGATGACGCTGTTGTCAGGAAGCTGTTTCAGCTCGCAGCCAGCGAACTCAAATTCACCAGTTTGCCACTTGCCCCATCGGAAAGCCTTGAGCAGCTCTTGCTCGCTCTCCAGGAACTTCTGTGAGGTCTGGCTTCCTGCAACCAGAAAATCATCCACATGTAGTCCAGCTATTGCCACCAGCTGGTCGTCCTCCATCAGGATGAAGACACATCGATCGCCTTTCAGCTGTTTCCATCCCAAACGCACCAAGGTTGCTACACATTTCTCAAACCATTTCCTTGGGGCGTGGACTAACCCATAAAACGCTTCTCTCACGCGAAGTGCCATTCCTTCGCCATCTTCAGCACCAAACATCGCAGCCAGCTCGGGCGGCGCCCAAACATCCAGCATCTCGTCCTCCAGTGAAATTCCAGTTTGCAAGAAGGCACTGGTCACATCGCCTCCTTTCAAAATGAAACCCATGCATGAGGCCACAGCCAGAACCAAATTTCGGCTTGTCTTGCTCATAGTGGGGGACGCTGATTCCACCTCGGTGATGTTCGGCGCCATGAAACCCAAAACCACCAATCTGGCCTTGGCTGACCCGTTGCTTTTGCGGGTGAGCACCCATCTCATTGACATCAGTCTCTTTGGGTCCAGGGACTTGAGCTCCTCTTTGGAAAGTCGCCTCAGGGCCTTGGAGATGATGACATTGGATAGCTCCTTAGCCATAGCGATGTCGTACTCCTTCTTCTCGTTGAGAGGAAGCTTTTGCCAGATCACCTCCTTTGATTTGTCGCTCATCTTCTTCGAAAGCCAGACATCAGCTTTGCGTCGATGTTGGGGTTTTGCTAGCCACTTCCAGTCGGAGGTGTTCAGGTCAATCGGCACGGCCACAAAGAAGTCATCCTTGTTCTTCTTGCCATTGCCCTTGGGATCTTGTCCAGGTAGATCAGGTTGTAGTTCTTCGGAACTTGTAGAGCTCGAAGATGGTGTAGAAGGCTCCTTCTCCTCGGCAATGATCTTCGTAGAACCATCGTAGGGGTCGTACAGGAACTCCTCGTTGTTGTTGTTGCGATGATGTCCAAGATGTCCACCAGGTAGGTCACAACCAGGAGCAACGCAAGAGCTCGATCCAGCACTGCTTGTCATAGGTGTCCCATCCAGGACATTGGGTCCTTTGGATCGTAGCGTCTGCGTCAAAGGTGTAGCTCCATCGTCTCCATCTTGGGCAGGTTGTTGAAGAGCATCATCACCTTGAAGATCATCCAAGGGGTCCTTTTCTTCGTCATCCACTTCAGCTTGAGGTCGTTCTCCAGAACGTACATCTTCTTCACCAGATAGTTCCTTCTCCGCCTTGCGCTTGGATCCTTTTGGATCAGGAACTCGTTGACGTTTTGGAGGTGGTAGAGGTCGCTGTAGCAGCTCAAACCTTGTTTCACCAGTCCATCTGTCTTGCAAGTTCCTCTGGATGTCCACGGTGTCGTTGATTTCAGCTTCTCCACCATGTAGAGGTCTCACGATGGTCTTTCTTTCACCGGTCATTTCATCCAGGGAAATAGGACAGTTGGCTGCTCGAAGAGGGTTGAAAAGAGCTAGCCGTGGTAAAACATGTTTTCGTATCAAAACTCGTTTGCCATCTCTTTCCTCCAAACTCCAAGAGTCTTGTCCTTGGCGTTGAGCAGGTTCTTGAAGAACTTGAGAGGGTCCAAGGTCTTGACGTTGAAGTTCCTCACTTGGAGTGTCGCCAGAGATGTCTTTGTAGTAGCGTCCTTGAAAAGACCGCATCAAAGATTCCACTGAGACAGGAGTTTTGAAAACTGCTGTCCCTTCCAAAATGGAGGTCATCTCTTCTCGGGACGACACTGGGCGGATCTGGTTCACTTTGGCTCTGATCAAAGTTGATCCTGAAGACAACCAAGCTGTTGCGCCTTCCATCAAAATGAGTCTGACAGGTCCAGTCCAGCTTCCTTTCATCTTGCCGGGTTTGACCCGTTGTCGCCAGACCATCACCAACTGACCAGGCTTGTATTGGGAGGCCTGTCGGCCCACAGAGTTTGCCAGCTTTGAAAAACGTTCTGTCGCCCTCTCACGTTCGAAGGCTATCTTGGCACGTTCTCGCTCTTTTACCAAACCTTGAAATGCTTTTCCAGGCTGAATGCCGGGGAGCAATTTCTCATCATCCAAAACTCCTCCACCAGATCCAAAAGCCCATTGGTAGGCACTGAAACCACTAGCGCCAACGTGGCTGTTCATTGCTGCAGCTGCAAGGGTGAAGAGGTCTGGAACGCTGAACTTGCTCTCCTCTTTCATCAGCCTCAGCACAGTCCGTTTGGCAACTCCAATTGCTGACTCTTCACTTCCCATCAGCCAGTGAGCTTCTGCAGGGGCCACAGTCAAGCCAATGCCACCTCGATTGAGGTAGTCCATGAACTCTTCAGAGGTGTAGTATCGTGCAGCATCTGACATCACCCATTTCGGTGAAGGGTAAACCATCTGCCACTTCATCATGGACTTGACGATGTCTTGGCTCGTCGGCTCCCAGGCTCTCTTGCTCTCGAAGGTCTGCATGTGGTCGATCATGGTCAAACCAGAAGCTCGGTCTCGCCAGAGGATGAGCTTCAACTTCATGTTGGGCTCGCCTTCTTTTTCAGGCATCTCGAACTCGAACACGTCAGTGCCCAGGACTTCAAACATGGCTGGTGCTTCTCCAAGAGACGCAGGAGGTCGTGGTAGCGGCTTTGCTGCTTCTTCACATTCAGGACAACGTAGTCGTTGTGCCAACTCCAACGCCCATGGTGGTGCGCCTCGTGCTTTGAGAAGTCTCACCAGGTTTGACATCCCAGAGTGACCACTGGCTCTGTGAACTCGTAGAAGAAGTTGCTTCACTGCCTCCAGCTTCTTGCCGGTGGGGGCTGTCTCAAGTTGCAGCCGCGTTCGGCTCAGCGCAAGAGCTTGTTCTTGAGGTCCATGAAGAGCTTGTTCTCGATGTCCAGGAAGAGCTTGTTCTCGATGTCCAGGAAGAGCTTGTTCTCGATGTCCATGATGTTGTGCTTGGCAACCAGGAAGAGCTTGAAGAGGTAGATCTTGATGTCGATGATGTTGTTCTCGGCAGCCAGGAAGAGCTTGAAGAGGTAGGTCATGGTGTTGATGAGGTCGATGAAGTCCAGGATCGAAGGTCTCCTCGATGTTGCTGTCAATCTCCAGCATGTAGTGCTCGACCATGTTCTCCAGGGAGTCGGTCTGCTGCATCCAGGAGAACTTCATCGCCTTGCAGATGTCCTTGCACATCTTCGGCGGGTAAAACGAGGAAGCTTGTGCGATTTGACCTCTGCAATGCATGTGCTCATGGGTCCCATCGCACCTCTTGTTCAAGGTAAGCCATAAGTTGCGGCTCGTTGTCAGGATTGTCCAAGCCTTTTTGACTGGCCATCCATGCCATTCAAGTCCATATTGACAGCCGTCAATGTTGATCCAATAGATCTGCCTGTTGTAGCGCTTGATGAGTCTTTGAAGTCGTTGAAGCGGCCTTGAACGCCATCCTGCAACCGCAGAGCTTGGCCATCCCCAAGCCAAATCATCACCATGTCGTAGAACTTCTTCAAGTCCTGTCACCACATCATCACATCTGCGTAGATCTTGGCCCTTCCTCTTGAGGAAGCGATCTTGTTGTTCAGGAGTTCGTGGTGTCAAGTTTTGCAAGCTTGACATACGGGTGCAGACCATGGACACCCATGCCAACTTCGGATGCTTTTCCTTGATCTCCTTCACCAGCAGGTTGGTTCCCTTCTTGCTGTCCAGGTCAAAACCATTGCGGTAGTTGATCCGCATGCCAGTGAAGCCGTTGTCAACAAACTCCTGGGTGAGGGCTGATTCAGGGCTGCAAGCGATCTCCATGATGTCGATCTGGGGCTGCACAGCTCCAATCAGCTCTCGCATAGGTCCCATCAGGGCTGTTGTCAGCATTGCGGCCTTTGCCAATCTTTTGGCCAGTGAAGGCTTCACCGTCTTCTCGGTGATATTGAACATCTCGTCCATCTCGGACTCGATTCGGCCAAAATGGCCACAGGTGTTCTTGTCGTCCTTTGGGACTTCTGTACTGTTTGAATTCTTCGTAGTGCTTGTTGTCATTGGGCTCATAGTTGAAGGTTGTCGTGTGGAAGTCAAAGTTGAAGGTTGAAAAGAAACCATCTTGCCCTCTGCGGCCTCCAGCTGCTGCGGGCACTTGTCAGCCAAAATGGCCATATCCGCGGAGTTTGACTTTCCACGGATTCGGTCCTGAAGGTTCCTCAGGGAATTCCAGAGGGCGCTCAATCGCCCTTGTTCTCGGCCTTGTCCTTGTCCTCCTCGCTGTTGCTGATCACCTCCACGTCCGAGTCGACCATCACCAGCACTGATTGCGCACCCGCTGGAGTCAGCGGTGATGTCACAGGCACTGATTGCTCGGCCGGCTCCTTCTTGATCTTCACAGGCTTCTGTGGGCTGCGCTTGTCCACTGTAGATCCAGGAGGGATCGCATCTTCCTTGCTGGTAGAACGGCTTTCTTGTCCCGGAGTCCTTGGTGCAGGTGAGAACTCCCTTGGTGGCGGCGTTAATGCCGCTTTGGCCTTGGCCTTCGTCATGGGCTTCGGCTTTGTCACCGTCTTCTCTTCCTCCTCTGTCTCGCCCATCATCCAGCGGCCCAGGCGCTCGTCTGCACGCACCTGCACTGACATTCGGCCACGTCCACCAGACATCACTAGGTGTCGGCCCTTGATCTCCATCAGCTTTCCATTGAAGATCTTTTCTGTCATCTGCCGGGGCTCGAAGTCGTTCTGCAGCTCCAGTTGGGCCTCCATCACAAGGTCCATAGGAGGTCCAACAGCTCTCGTATCTCCCTGGTAGGGCGTCTTGTTCACATAGCGCAGGCGTAACCCGCAACGTGTGCAGCTCTGCCATGTTGCGTACTGGTTGGACTTCTCTTTGCCCGCCTTGTGCATTCCACCACATGGCCATCCCAGTTGGCGAGGATCCGACTCCGCCGCAGGAGGGACCGATTTCATGGGGCTGAGGTGAAGACCTCTGCTTCAGCTGTTGTAAGCGTTGAGCCAGACAGCTCAGTCGCTCATCCATGGTTTCATGCCGTTGATCTTTTCCATCACTTCTCCAAACCATCAAAACATGTTGACATGGACGTGAGTCTTCAGGGGGATTTCCATGAGCATGAGGTCCATGTGGGGGTTCTGCATGAACATGTGATTCAACAGCAGCTCCATGAAGCGTGTCTCCATGTGGTACATGTGCAGGCATGCTCTCATCCAACACGAGATGATGACCAACTTCAGGTCGATGCGCCTCATCTTTTTCCACCGCCTCTGCATGAACAGGTGCTGATGCCGGTTCCACAGGGGCATCTGCAGCAGCCAAACGTTCTGGTGACGTCGGCGTAGAAGACAAGTCGATGGTTCCACCAGGGCATACTTTTCCTTTCGGCTCCTCTTTCACCAAAACATCAGGGCTTTCCACAAAGCTCGCAGAGCCGAAGTCTTCGGTCTTGGCAAATGGTGAGGCACTTGCAGGCAATCGTTCTTCTCCTTGATCAGCTTCTCGAGGTCCTCCATAGGCACCCGACTGGGTTGCAGCTCCAACCAAACTTCCAAAGTTGCATGGCCCAACTCGTCCTCTGTGACGCTTGTTGCCACGATGGGGATCGTTTCCATCGCCATCTCCATCATCTCCAGGGGATGAGTGTTCATCTCCATGGTGATCATCTCGGTCTCGACCAGGCCACACGTTGAAGGGGTCGTTCTGCAAACGCTTCAGAAGAGCTTGAAGAGGTTCTCGAGGTTGTAGTAGATCCAAAGCCAGGTGTCCACTCGACAAAGTCTCGAGTGAACTTGCCCACCATTTGTCCTTCGTCTTATGCGCCAGCCAGTCTCCCTTGTAGGACACCAGGGCATGTCGTGCTCGTAGATCTCGTGCTCCAAGTAGTGGTGGTGTGTTGTCAGCTCCTTGATCAAGTAGGTAGAAGGAAACCTCGCCAAGTGCCGGACATTCCAGCTTCACCTTCGACACAGCACGCTGCGTCTGGCCATTTCCAAACCGGAAACGGGGTCTGTCATCCAGGTGCACGGAGTACTGGAAGCGTCCACCATCAACCAGCCTTGACATAGAGGCCACTCCAGCCACTGATTCAGTGGCACCTGTGTCGATCACCACCTTCTCTGATGCAATGGATTGCAACTCCTCGCTCTCCTGCAGGGACAGCACGTTGATCTCGGGCACGTAGTTCTCCATGTAGTAGGCCGGGAGGTACTCAGTGAAGTAGGCCTTCTTTCCCTTTGAACCTTTCTTGCCTTTCATAGCCATCTTGCCCTTGCCTTTCACAAAGCTGGAGCCTTTCTGTTGCGGCGACCATCGGTCAGGGCAATTTTGGTAGGTATGTCCAGGTCGCCCACATGTAAAGCAGGGTCCAAGTAGTCCCTTGCCTTTCCCAGCTTTTCCAGACTTTGCTTTGCCTTTCTTCCCAGCATGGCCTTTCATTCCAGCAGGGTCGTAGTAACCCCGGGCGGCTCTCACCTTTGCCACAGCAGCTTTCGCTTCAGCCAGCGTCTTGTTGGCCTCGGCAGCAATGGTGAAGGCCTCTTCCATGCGCTTCTCCTCGTCAATCTCCTCGGCGGACTTCTCGTAGACCTCGTTGTCATAGTAGCCCTCGGCGTAGTCATAGTCCACGTTGTAGTCATAGCCATAGCCATCATCCCAAGAGCTCGAAGGTGAAGAAGGCCATTCGGTGTAGTAGGTCTCCTCATCCCACCAGGCGCCATCATCGTCGCACCACCAGACCGTAGATCCATCATCTTCCCATTCAGCTCCATCTTCAACTCCAGCATACCAGGTCCTCTTAGGACGGCCACCATCATCTTGTCCTTCTTCAGCAAAGAGGCTCCTCAAAGCCTGTCTGATCAAGTTGAAGTGGGTGCTGTTCTTGGTGAGCGTCATGACATGTTGCCGCTCAGCTGCTGTAAGCTTTGCAGCTTTCAGCAACCTGTATCCCCTCATCTCGTTCTCGAAGAAGCCTTCTCCAGGGGATAGTCCAGCAGCATCCATAGGTGAAGTCTGTGAGGTGCTCGGCATAGATGTAGTTGCGCCAGGTTGTTCTTCTCCAGCTCGGACACCGCTCATGCCACCGGCTGGAGACCTCGAGGGAGACTCAGAAGGGTCTCTTTCAGAGATTCCAACACCCATAGACCTTCGTTCTGCCTTTGTACGCTCGTATCGAGCTCGTTGAAGTCCACGTTGTAGTTCCGTGAAGAGCTCCTCCTCGCGGATGATCAGGTGGGGTATATCTTCTCCTTGGGCTCTTCTGAGGCCAGACCAACGTTCCAAGCGGCTGAACGAGTCCGGGATGGGGAGCTTCTGCAAAGGAGACTCCCTCAGCACGTCCAGCAACTTCTCAACTCCGTTGGTCACATCGAAGTCTTCAGGCTTGAGGTTCTTGACGACGGACTTTGCTGCGCCATGGAGTTTCTGCCATATGCGGGGCGCTGCAAGTTTTCTGTCGCTCTCCTTCAGAGAACGTTCATACCACTTGCAGCTCGTTGCAAAGGAGTCGAACGAGCTGGGGTCACCGTCCCATATTGGGACGTCCGTTTGCTCTGGCATCAGAGCTCGAACAGGTAGTTCTCCACGTCCCAACCAGCTGCTCCGCTGACCATGCAATTTGGTCAATCCAAGAGGCCACACCGCAGGCTACAACGAGTGCTATGGGCACCCTTTTCCTCTATGGAAGCTCGAGCCCCGCCCTAGCGGGAAGTCACAGTTACCTGACATGTCAAAAGGGTCATGCATGAAACACCTGTACTTGCACTATTCAAAACTTGGAAATTGGGGTTTGGTCTGATGCGTCTTTTGCAAATGCTGAAGCACACAAAAGTCAGGGAGGGTATATGGTTTGCGCAGTGGAAAAAGGGCTCAAAGAAAATAAGTGGTCAAAAGTCTCTCCATGGAGATGGCGTAGCTTCAAGCAGGACCGACAAACTGCTTCGACTCTGGGAGCAGAGTTATTGACTATGTCAAGGGCAGTGGCTGAGGCGAAATGGTTACGATCAATGTGGACAGAAATGACGTGTCCATCATATACCCTGGAGAGTGACAGAGAACTCACGAAACAAACTGCTATCGTGCTCTCAATAGACAGCAGACCTGCATATGATCACTTGCATGGACAAGTCATGACAATCAAGGACAAGAGGCTGGCAATTGAGATGCTTCTGATGAAACAAGACATTGGGAGCGAAAATGTGCTGGAACAAGCTCATTGCATTGCATGTCATTCCCCACCCATCCACCCTTCATTGGGTAATGAAACACGAAGCAGCAGACACCTTTTGACGAATGGTGGAAAGGTCGCAGGTACACAGACCGCAGGCAAGGACAACAGGGGGAGAGTAGGCTGTAACCTGACACAGACAGCACTACACAAGCACACCACCACAGGGTTACAAACACAGGTAACCAAGTGTACCTGCCCCAAAAACACACCTCCGAACAAAAAGGGTAAGGGCGGGCGGGAGAAAAGTCCACAAGGACACCTGAGCAGTTCCCACCCCTTACACGATCAAACTGCACACAGGCAGCTTGAGCCAAAATGGCACGTGGGAACCGCATCAACCCTCACAGGGAGGTGGCGTGACAAACCTCCCACCCGAAACCATGCAATTTCACTCGCAATGTTCTTACATACATTTTGTATTTCAAAACAAGCTCATTGCATTGCATGTCATTCCCCACCCATCCACCCTTCATTGGGTAATGAAACACGAAGCAGCAGACACCTTTTGACGAATGGTGGAAAGGTCGCAGGTACACAGACCGCAGGCAAGGACAACAGGGGGAGAGTAGGCTGTAACCTGACACAGACAGCACTACACAAGCACACCACCACAGGGTTACAAACACAGGTAACCAAGTGTACCTGCCCCAAAAACACACCTCACTGACCTTTAACACCCGTCCCTTCCTCTGCTGTTTCGCAGCCCTTTTTCATTCATTCTGTGCTACACGTCACTATGTTACTGTGTGACTTTGTCACCATGAAAAGGGGATAGTGCTGTCGACGAGGTCCTCGGCTATCATGTCCGGCCTGCACCTCGAGCAGATCGAAACAGCTTCTCCCACCTGTTCTTTTGCCGACAGAGGCTTTGCTAGCCTTCCAGCGGCAGCCCATCTCCAGCCACCACACCGGGTGACCCAGTTGAGCGGGTTGCCCGCCCACTCACTGCTGTCGGACCGTGCGGTGGCATGCACCATAAGAGTGGACAGGTTCAGGACCAACTTCGGTCTGGCTTGGTCCCTGATTTCCTGTACCATGGCTCTGGTGTTTTGATCGTTGGTTTTAACCTCAGCTTTCACCAATTTGATCATCTCCTGTATCTCCTGACATTTAGCGGCCTGCTCCAGGGTTTTGCGGGCCACTCCTTCCCATGTGGTCAGAGCCACCTTGTTTTCAGGCATTTCTTCAAGGGCGTCCTCGACATAGCCTTGGACCGCACTGGATCCCCAACGGCCAAGCCACTGGACCATCGCTAATGGGAGCCCGTGCCTCTTGACGGCGTCCTTTGCCCCGGATCTTCTTAGTGAGTGGCCCGTCACCCTGTCTAAGTTTGGGGCCGCCAACCGGTGCTTTGCGAGGTCGGATGACTTGCAAGCCTCTTCCACGTCCTTTCTAAGAGCCGCTATCATGGCTTCTTTGGTCACCATCAAGGTGGGGCAACCGACCTGTCCAACGACAGTGAACTCCCTCAATTCTTCTTCCTCGTAGCCCATTCCACGAAGTACCTTGGTTCTTTCTGCCATCACCAACAGCGTGGCGTGAAAGGGGCAGTCACTCTCGCCTTCGTCCTCAGGCGGATAGGAGCACACGCATGATCACGTGCGCCTTGCCCCTTTTCCTCCCGGGTCGGTCTTTGACATGGAGAGGAGCAACGTGACCTCCCTTTTCTCAAGGTCCAAAGACACTGAACCCATCAGGAGGTGTGCGAGTTCCGTTTCTCTCAGCAAGAACGCCGAGCCCATTCCCCACAGCTCTGGCCCCGCCTGAGGCTGCATTTGACTTCGAACAAAGCCCCTACGGCCAGCCAGTTGCCACACTCTCCAAAGCTTTGGAGGTATTTCCTCGGCCTTCACAACCGGGCCGAGAGCTCTGGTGAGGGCCCTTTCGGCGTCTTGCATCGCCAGGTCCAAGGACGAGTCCCAGTCGTACCCCTTTCGAAGATGCACTTGCTTTGCTTCTGAAAGGTACGTTGCGCCTGAGGCAAAGTCGGCTGCCCGCAGAACCGCCGCCACTTCCCCGATCACTGCAGGAGTAAGTGGAAACGGTTCCAGGTTTCTCGCTTCCGCGATCTGCACAACTAATCTGGCCTTGCTTTCTTTGGCAATTGCCGTTGATTTTGCATAGACCAACTCGCCGTAGTTGATTCTTGCCTGTTTCATCAGATCTTCCGAGGAGGCGACAACCAAGGCTTTTGCCGCAGACCCTCTCGCCCTTGTTTTAGGCGGCGCCACCACGGGGCCGGTGGTTCGCGCAGCCGGGGTCCCTGCCGGCGTGGTGGGCGCTCTGAGCCCCCCCGGCTCTACAAAGTGGTCCTTGCTGGGGCCCGTTTTCCTTCTCTTTGCTCCTAAGCCTTCGTTTTCTGAGGAGGCTCCATCGTCCTCCTTGGGCTCCACTTTGACTGGCACCTTGTTTGTATCGGCCCCCGCCGGGTCCTCTTCTCCATGCGGGCGAAGGTCGCCACTACCCGCGGACGGGAGCCCCCCTTCCTCTTGTGGTTCATCTTGTCCCGGAGGCCTGGCCACAGCGTAGGCTTTCATCACAGAGAAAGGCATCACTGGCCTCTCACCGTGAAGCGCCCAATCCTTTCGCTTAACCTCGGCCCACCAGGCCATTTCGAGGTGGCGCCCTTTGTCACCCAGGATTCTTTCTGCCAGCGCCCCCGCCAAGTCGTTTTCCGTTTCCATTCCAGGCTGTGCAAGGATAGTCTTCCTCCTTGCGACTTCTTCATTTTGACATGAGACCACTAGCTTCGCCTGCTCTTCGGATTCATCTGATCCGCATGCGCACTCCAGGCAGATCCACTTAAAGGGTGCTGTATTCATTCTTGTGATGCACGCGCCACACAGCTCGACGCTGCACCTGTTACAGTACCCAATCACTGGTTTCCTGGAGCAGAGCTTGCATACCCTCTGGGCCAAGGCTGACCACGGGTCGAAGCCATCGTTCTTGGGGAAGCGCACTGGCCCATTGGCGTAATCTTCCCGAGACGCCGTCACCTCTTTCTGCCTTGCGCTAAATCTTTCCGCAACTAAATCTGCCTTCCGCTTCGACAGTTGCTTTTGCGCTGGGCGGTCTCTCCCTCCCGCGCCCGCAAACCTCCTCTGCTGGCTTGCTGGAAGCAGCCGCGCGGCCCACATGTTTATTCTATGAGCAGGAGCCACAACAGCGCTACTGCACCGAGTAGCGATGCAACGAGGTAGGAGACTACCTGGTGCACGACCCCGCGCACTGGCGGGCGAGGATAGGCACTAAAACACAAATGGCGCCCCGGTGCGTAGCGCTACCTCGCGGCATGTGCCGTGGCCACACGGTGCCACCGATCTACAGAGCTTGGGCAACGGAACTGCGGACAAGCGCACTCCCTGGATTACATGGTCAGCCAGACACTTGGAAAAACTTGCATTAAACAAAGAAAAGGGGAGGGGGGAGAAAGTGGGGGGGACCCCTGCCTGTGGAGCCCTTCAAGGCCAACAACACTGCCACGAGTCCCTAAATCCCTCTGGGATCCGCTTCCTTTTTCCCCGCCCGCGGGACAGCCGACTCAGGGCGTCTGCCAAATAATTGGCGGCGGAACGGACATGGTCGCCCTGCCGCAGGTCAACGTCATACTGACGAAGCACACAGGCCAATTCTGCGGCAATGGCCACCATTCCTGGCGAGGAGGCCCTAAGGTTTAAGGCAGTGTGCAGGACGCCTGTGTTGTCAGTCGTCAAGTGCACGGCCTGACTTGCTATTTGTGACCCAAACAGCTTGACTGAGATTGCTACAGCCAGCAACTCCCACTCGGATTGCCAGGCTGGGTCTCCTGTTCTGGCCCCCAGCAGCGCCAAATCCCATTCCTGGATTTCGTCTGCCCACCAAGCGACTGGCTGTCGACCATACCACAGGATGCCACCAAATCCAAAGACTGAAGCATCTGTCTGTATTTGCCACAATGCGCGTGGCTGCCAGTGGAAGGTGGCATTTAAGGAGCTGCACTGAGTCATCCTGTGCAGGGTGCTTAGTGCCAATTGCACCTGTTTCATGAACACCAAATTCTTTCTTTCCCTGGCACGCTTCGGCACCCGGGATTCGCATTCTGTGACACATCCCCATATCATTCCTACCCACGGCCTTGCCAGCTTGACGATTGACGTGAGCCAACCCAATAAACCGGCCATCGACCGGAGGAGCTGAACTGGAACGACTCCTTTGTGCTGCAACAACTCTTCCAAAGCCCTCTGCAGCTTCTCCAGCTTCTCTTGCGACAGTTGTGCCACAATGCAGCCATCTTTCAGCTGCAGCTGAAAACCGATCCACTGTACGGTTGTGCCCAGCTGCATCTTGTTCCAACTCAGTTGGCAGCCCAACGCCTGCCACAGCAGGAGCGGTATCGCCAGATTCACTGACCTGGCCACCGCGTCCAGCCCTTTGACCACCAGTAAGGGGTCGTCCACATAACACTGTATGCGGGCTGTATCCCAACAAGCCGCTTGGGCAAGCCTCACGAGTGCCGCGGCCAGCCTTGACCACAACAGTGGCCCGCAGGCCAGTCCAAATGCGACGACCTCTAAGATGTAGTAGACCGACCCACTGGCCTTGACTACTACATGTTTGCGCTCCACTGGTGCGAGTCGGCATTGGTAAAAGGCATCGCGGAAGTCGATTACGGCGAAGTGGACCACCGCATCGTTGTCCTCTCGCACCATGGCAGCCCATTCGTTTGCGACGTCGCTCACTCTCGGTAGAACGACCCGCTGCCTGATACACATCAACCCATTGATGCCTGATCGCCGACAATCGACCACCAATCGGGTCTTGACACCCCCTCCTGGCTTGGGTTTTTGGATACATCCAAGCCTGGTCAGCGAGGCTCCTTCTCCAGCAGGCTGCAGGACTTCGGCCCATGAATTGCAACGCGTCGCATAGCCTGCCTCGGCCACACGCTCCAATTCTTCTAATGCTGCTTGCCCTGCTTCCTGGAAGGACTTGTAGTTTTCCGCTTGGTCCGCTTCGCTCCAGTCGGTGAGCAGGGGGAATTGCCGCGACAGCTCCACGGCCTTTGTATCCCACTCCGTTGCCGGGAACACGTTGTTGATTCCAAGCTCCTTCTCTATCCCCAGCGGGAAGCCTTCTCTCAGCCACTGCGTCACGTCTTTCTCTGGGTCTTGGCTCCTCTCCAGCAGCTTTTCCAGGAGTGTAACCCGTATCGGAGATGGGGTTTCCTGCTCCACCCCCACAAGTGACGACAGCGCACTGGCTGCTGCTGCCACTGTGTCTTTGTGGAAGCCCGCAAAGGACCCCCCCGACACCAGCGTGTGCAACTCCCGTGAGTTCTCTTTGACGACCCCCAAGAGCACGTGGCGCACACTGGCGCCCAGCTTCCAAGCTGCAGCCTTGCTCTGAATGGCGCGGTAGGGATTTCTTAGTCCTCCCACCGCCCGGTCGTTTTCTATCTCTCTTCCTTCTCGATTGCTCGCTGGATGCCTTGTCTGTACTTCCGGCTGGACCGCACTCAGCGCGTTTCCTTTCACTCTGAAGGTTTTCTTCTGCAGCGCCACCCGTCCTTCTTCTGTCTTCAAGAAGCGGACAAGCGACTGTGCCCATGCCCAGCACAGCCCCGTGGGGTACTCGGCCGCTAAAGCGGTTTTCCACACCTCTCTTGGCGGATCGAAGAAATGATCCGAGGTCTTTCCGACCAAACCACCTGGCATATGCTCGTGTGGTCGTGCCTCCTCGCACCTGGCACAAACATCTGCCATCCATGATGCATCCGTAAGGATCCCAGTCGGCTTTTTGGTTTCGGCACCATATGGGCATTGGTCTAGCCCAACCTTTCCCATCCTTTTCATGTGCCTTTCCAGCGTTGGCTGCTCCCAAATGAACGAGTCCTCCGGGCTTTCCAACGAAGCAGTGTTCCTTGCCGACTGAGCCTCGTCTAATATGACTGACACTCTCTCCACGATTTTGTTGCCCTCTACTGTCAGAGGGTCGCCCCAGCCTTCTGGTTGTGCTTGCGACCGCACGACTTTGGTGGTTCCGAATTTGTCTGACCTCCGTGCCTTCGTGAAGGACTTGCAAGGCGGGGCTAAATGGGTGTGGTCTGCTTCCCTCACCCATCCTCGTGCTTTCTCGAAGTCCTCGTCCACCAAGATGTCCCACTTTGTGGTCCACGAATCTTGGTGATTCATCACCTCCACCAGGTCTCCACCGGCCAACTTGACAGCCCCCGAAAACCCTGCCTGCCCGGCAAACAGCTCCAAGAACCTGAAGGGGCGGACGGACTGTCCTTCCCGTCCCCTTTCCACGCCAACACTGGGCGCTCCTGGGTGAGGGCTTTGCAGAGCGGGGGCTGTTTCCTATTTCCTGTTTCCTTTTCCCTTCCCTTTTGGGGGCTCCTTTTTGCACTCCCGATTTTGGTGTGCACCCAAACATATTTGACATCGATGCGCACGGTTTGCCGCACAGGGCTCCGCGCAAGCCTCTGGTGTAGCTCCCTTTGCCCAGGTATAGCACAGCTCTCGCCCCTCTGGCGTGCTGTGGAAGAGACCTCCCCACTTCTTCGGATGCGTTTTGTTTGTGAAGCGGTCTTCCACCTTTGGCTTCGTCGCCGGCTTCTTCTCCTTGTCTGACCCCTCGCCTGGGCTCTCCTTCTTCCTCTTCCTCGTCTTCTTGTTGGCTGGTGACGCCGCCCCCACTGGAGCTGCCGCGCCGAGGGCCGCCTCCACATTGGCCAATGACGCCTTTGCAATTGGCTCCCCATCCTGGCAAGGAAGGCGACTGCGGGTCTCCTGACATTGGCGTCCCAGTATTGGTGGTCCAACGCCGCAGCCTGGAAGACCCCATCCCAAGGAGTCGCTGGGTTGAAGTCCACATCCAGCGGGACTTTGCCCTCGTTGTGGGCCCTTTGCAAATTCCTTCGAATGTGCTCGAACCTCTCGGCTCTCATTCGATCCTCGGCCGGCATCAGCAAATGCCAGCATTCCGGGAACTCCTGACAGAGCTCTTTGAAGGCCTCGAAGTATCTCTCGAGGGAGTGAGGCTGAACGACTAATGGTCTCCTTGTCACCATGCCTCGAGTTGCGCTCACTGGCGCTCCTCCCGCCGGCGCCGCTGTTGCATTGTAGCGCAGCATGAATAAAACTGCTCGGTACACCCTGAAACAGGCTTGCCACGCCTGGAAGTGAGGTGGCCCCGGGATGTCGGCCGCTTTCCACGTGCCATCCGGTTGGAATGAGTAGCTTTTCGTTTTCATAGCTCTTTGTATCCTTCTCCCAAAAGGTGTAAGGATGGAGAAGTCCGCATAAGGACTTTCGTCCCTCATGACGACTTTGTCTTCCATTGCTGCAACTTGAAGATCGGTCGGCTCTACCTCTGGTAGCGGGTCTGCGCCCGTAATCTCCCGATGGTTCTCGAAATAGATGCCCATCTCGGCCCTCGTCTTTGTTGCAACTTCTGTGTCGTCTGTTTGGTCCAACACGTTTGACAACTTCACTTTCTTTGGCGATGGCTGGTTTTGCGTAGGCACTGCTGCCGCCACCCCCGGTGTTCCACTCACTGGTGGACTTGCCCCCACCGTGGCCCTGACAGCCGAGGAGGACTCCGCTCCTGGCAACATCGGATCCATGTCCTCCAGCCCTACGGCCTGCCTGGCTACCCGCCACACCAGCGCCATCTGGATCGTCTCGGTGACGTTGGGATCGCGCGTCGGCGGCGGGGTTCCATCCGCCGGGGCGGCACCAGAGGGGATCCGCAGGCCCAAGATGGTTTTCTGCAACACCGAGGCCGGAACCATTGCTAGGATCCGAACGCTTGGTGGGTTGCCAAGCTGTTTGGCAAATAAGGTCCACAGGTTCGCCTCCACTGCGGCGAAGGTGACCACGTCGTTCAAGGAGGTCAAAGTAGCCAGTTCGGCTGGCGACGCAAGCAAGGATGCCATAGCACCACAACGCCCCACGCATCTAATCCTGTTTGGGGCTAAAGGGGAAGTCCCTCACCGAAGGCCGGGGAGGGCTGACCAGCTGCGGCTGAGGTCGCCAGGAGCCTTTGGGACACCGCCCAAGGCTGCCGAAGCACCAGCCACAAACACAACCCCACGCCCAGCAAACCACCAGGAGGCCACACAGGACCCACCTAGGGTCGACCCCGGCTGGTGAGAGGTGCTGAGGTGTCCACAGGAGCAACTCTGTGCTCATCAAAAGTCCACAAGGACACCTGAGCAGTTCCCACCCCTTACACGATCAAACTGCACACAGGCAGCTTGAGCCAAAATGGCACGTGGGAACCGCATCAACCCTCACAGGGAGGTGGTGTGACAAACCTCCCACCCGAAACCATGCAATTTCACTCGCAATGTTCTTACATACATTTTGTATTTCAATAAAATGGCTTCCTACAGATCTGATGCTAGTAGATGGACTGACAAAGTTAGGTGCACCTATGATGCTGCTTCGGAGAGTGTTACGAGAAGGCAGAGTGATACTACAAGAGAATGATGAGATGACCAAATGGGCCGGCAAACTTCAAAAGAAACTCAAAAGTTGATTCTTTTCTGTTGTTTTTGTGTTTGGTGCTGTTGTTTTGTGTGAAAAATGGAAAGAGAGACGGTGAAGCGTGTAGAGAATCCATTAGGGGACGTGTGAAATGTACATGTCAGTCGGATTCTCTAACATGAACTTATGTGGACATCTGGGCACGAGCCCCCTTAGCATAGCCGACGATCAACCAAAAGGCGCAATGGATCTACCACCTGTGTACCATAGTTGAGGTGCACAACATAAACAAATACATAAACATAATATACATAAACATATGCATTTAAAAAAAAAAAAACATAAAAATATGCATACACATTCACGTACACATTGCATATGCATGTACCTGTTATTGTCTTGTCCAGGAATGAGGTAAACCATGGCATAGCCCAACTTTTGGCCATTTTAATGGTGAAAATGATGATAAACCGTGGGATTTGGGGGGTATTCCAACTAAAGTATTGTACTCAGTGCATTACGCCTCTCTCCCGCAATCTAGGAGATTACGTTTCTCGCCCATTCATGGACAAGTAAGAGCAGTATTGAGACTGAGACACTGCAGCGTGATTTTGAATTTGCCCATTCGGACCAAAGAAATTTCATGAAATATCTGTAGATCGTCTTCGACAAAGAATAATTCGCCGAATTTTAATTCCCACAAAGTCCTGCCTTGTCAGATTCTACCTGTGCCTGGCGTTCGGAATGCAACTTGCGAATATAATTACAGTACTTGACCAAAGTTGCCGCACAAAATGCATATGGAACCTGAGTCACAGCACCACTGGCTGCTTCCAAGGCCTCAGTAAGGGCATGGTGAACCACAGTCCAGCTCTGTGCCTTCGACCTCTTCGACTTTCCTGGGGGTTCCCGCGCCGTGAAAATCACCATCTCTAAGTTTGGCAGCGGATCCAATGACGCCCTGATGCCCAAGGGATGCTGCATGATGCTGCGATATCCTGCATATGCTATGAACATATATGAAAGGTGTCTATATTTTCCCACCCAAGTCTCCAAGCATCAAATCACATTTTTCTTCATCATAAAAGCAGGGTTGAAACAGTTTCTGCAAAAAAAAAACGAAACCTCAGGGAATCTCATCGGTAAGCAAGCCTTCTGCCCAGGCAAACAATCCCAAGAGATCCCAAGAGTATCAATGCCACCTTATCAATTTTTGTCCAAGCGTAGATTCGGATTTCACCGGAGCACAGCCCTGCCACCTTTGGAACAGTACCTTCCCCCGCCTGCGAAACTGCCTGACTGAGAATGCCAGCATGAATCTTCGCAAGGCGAGCAGCACCGCCAACTGTATCCTTGGTCGCATCAACCTTGGAGAATCACTGAGCACTTGTCCAGCAAGCTGACCAGAAAACATAAAGCACTGGTTTTTGTTGGTTTTTGTTCTACAATCATGTTGGCCACATCATGCGGCACAATAAAGATAACCATACTTCTGAAGTGTACCAAGAAAATCACATCCCTGCGAGTACCATCGAATCGTTTTAAAACAAGTGAGCGAAAGGGAATTCAGAGCATGGCCACGTGGGCAAGATCCTGGCGCAGTACCGGCACAACAAAAAAATTGGTTGTATCATTTTCTCACACTTATTCCCCTTTTCTATATGTATACAAAATACATACTTCATACTTCATACTTATACCCATACCGATACATATACCTTTACAGATACATCGAGTACACCTACACCTATACCTATACCTAAAAACAGAAACACACACACACACCTATATATACGTAAAACGTATACGTGTACATATAAATAAACATATACATCTACATATACATATACATATACATTTACCTATACATATACATATACATATACATTTACATATATATATATATACATATATATTTACATATACATATACATATACATATACATATACACATACATATACATATACATATACATATGCATATACATATACATATACATATACATATCCATATCCATGCGCATATGCATATGGAAATGCAAATGCAAATGCAAATGCAAATATATATATACATACACATACACATACACACACATACACATACACATACACATACATATACATATACATACACATATACATTTACATATATATATATACATATATATATATACATATACATATACATATCCATATCCATATGCATATGCATATTGAAATGCAAATGCAAATGCAAATATCTATATATATATATACATACACATACACATACACATACACACACACATACACACACATACACATACACATACACATACACATACACATACACATACACATACATATACATACACAAGGCTGGAGGCCCCCCGGAGCTTCCAGGAACCTCCACTCTTGTGATGTTGTATACGCATGGATGAATGGATGGGGGGTGCTAACAATGTTTGGTAGTCTATGTGTTTTGATCTATGCTGGCTGGTAGGGACGGATCGATAAAGCCCCCAAAGGCCCACAATAATCAGTCCGTTATGGATTTGAAATTCCAAACATGCAAAGTTGCAAATGCGTGGGCCGTGGGCCTTGCCAAACATTTTGCATCGGTTTGTAAATTGTCACTCCTAATACTCCTGATCCATATTCAATGAGTAGCAAATGCCGTTGGTAATTGCGAGATGTCTGTGCAGGACATATCACGAGAGAAGAAAAATCCGGCAAGTCTGCGCAAACATCGCCGGCCAGCAATAAAACGTCTGCAACTGATGGATGTCAAGGAAACCTTACAAAATACAGTGAACATGATGGCACGCACTATCCTCTCCCTTTTGCCTCTCTTTTGCCTCTCTTTTGCCCCTCTTTTGCCCCTCTTTTGCCACCCTTTTGCCCCTCTTTTGCTTCCCTTTTGCCACCCTTTTGCCACCCTTTTGCCACCCCTTTTGCCCCCCCCTTTTGCCCCTCTCTTCCCCTCTTTTGCCCCCTTTTTGCCCCCCCCTTGCGCCCCTTTTGCGCACCCTTTTGTGCCCCCTTTTGCGCCCCATTTGCGTCCCAAGCGCCCCGTTGCCCCCCGCTCCCTCCCCCGCTTGCTACACCCGCCCCCCCCGCTTGCCCCCCCGCTTGACAGCCTTTGCCACCCCCCGCTTGGCCCCCCTCCTCTTGCCCCCCTTGCCCCCCCTCTTTGCCACCCTATTTGCCACCTCCTCTCTTCCCACCTCTCTGCCCCCCCTCCCTTGCCCCCCTCCCTTGCCCCCCTTTACCCCCGTTGCCCTCTCTTTTGCCTCCTTTTCCCCCTTTTTGCCTCACTTTTGCCCCCTTTGCACCTTGCCCCCTTGTTGTTGGCCCTTGCCCCCCCCGTTGCTTCCTCTTGCCTCCCGCTTGCCCTTCCTCTTGGCTTCCTTTTGCCACCCTCTTTGCCCCCTCTTGCCCCCCCTTGCCCCCCCCTTGCCCCCCCCCATTGCCCCCCCTCCCTTCCCCCCCCTCCCTTTGCCCCCCTTTTGCCCACTTCCCTGTGCCACCTTCCCCCCCTTGTGTGCCCATTGCCCCCCTTATGTGCCCCTCGCCCCCCTTGTTGCCGTTGTGCCCTTTGCCCTCTTGTGGTGCCCCTTGCCCCCCTGTGCCCTTGCCCTCTGTGCCCCTGGCCCTGCCCTGCCCCTTGACCCTTGCCCTTGCCCCTTGGCCCTGCCCCTGGCCCCTTGCCCCCTTGCCCCTGGCCCTTTGCCCTGGCCCTGGCCCTTGCCCTTGCCCTGGCCCTTGCCCTTGCCCTTGCCCTGCCTTGCCTTGCCTTGCCTTGCCTTGCTTACATACACGTGCACATACCCCATACACTTCCGAGGACGTCACTGCTGAATCTATAGCAAGGATGCTTGCGACTGAGCACACGTGCACGTGATATCGGCCCTGGCGAATTTCAATTATCCAGCCTCATTCCACCACCGCGATTCTTGCGATTCTTCATAGAGGTTGCCTGATGAAAACCAACAATTTTGCAACAGTAGTGCCAAACAGTCAAACCTGCCTCCACCGTGTTCATCAAATGCGTGCGTCCTGCACTTGGGAAGTCAGTCACCATGAGTAGAAAATGAAACAATTCTATCCTGTGCGCACGGTTGGGTCACCCACAACCATTCAGCATCACACACCCTTCCCACTGTGGATGCACTTGGTAAATTTCGCAAGAGACTCCTCAGTTCTAAAGCCGCAGCATGCAGGTTGCACAGGATAATGAACACGGCCGCAACGTTTTGACGTTGCCACATTGGGATTCCTTTGTTTCCAGCATGGACCGCACAAGAATTCGCTAGTTCGTTATTGCCTGTGCAAACTGCGTCTCTTCATGCCTCGTTCTCAATTTCAAATGTGCACCATCCAGCCCAAGCATTCGACGGTCAGGGACACGCCATTTGTAGCTGGAATATGGAATCGGTACCGGGTAATTCGCAGGCCCTTTTACGAG